TAGCTAGGGTTGTATAATATACGTCACCTAGACTTAGCTTATATCACGATTTGTAATTAGACTTAGCACGTAAGGTTGTGTAGGGTTCTAATGTACGACATTTACACTTAGCATACATGACTTAGATTGTTAAAACATAAATGTCTCGTGACTTAGCAGATGTTTCTTGTATCAACAGATGGCTGACCGCGATGAGGAACAGATATTGTACGATACAATCGTGGAGGGAAGCAGCCAGTACTGGAATGAAGAAGAGGGGAACGAGGATCCAAACCAGTACTTGAACGAGGAAGGGAACGTGGAGAGGGATGCGGAGGGGAACCAGCAGGGGCACGTGGAAAGGGATGTGGAGGGGAACCAGGAGGAGGAGGCTAGTGGTAGTCAACCCTCCGTTGGACAGAAGAGGGCACGCGGGCAACGAGGTGCAGCGAAGAAGCTTGAGGGTCGGCACATCATAACAGAAGTGGAAGAAGATGGACGTCCTAGTGCCCCGGCCGAAGCCGCCAAGAACTATGTACGTCACAGCGGTTGGGTTGTGCGGGATAACGTGCCTGTCAGTACGGTGTACTGGCGAAGAACAAGGGCACGCGGAGATCATGAGAGCTTTGTCCCAGATTCGGAGAAAGAGATGCTGTGGACCACAATGCTTGAGACATTCACCCTTCCTGCGGGTACAGAGGACAAAGTGAAAAGGTGGACTCTGAAGAAAATGGCAGAACAGTTTCAGAGCTTCAAGGGAGATCTGTACCAGAAGTATATACTGAAGGGGCAGACACCGAACTTCGACACATTCCCAAAGCTAAGGGATCACTGGGACGAGTTCGTTGCATATAAGACAGGTGAACAAGGGAAGGCGATGATGGAAAGAAACAAAGAAAATGCCGCCAAGAAGAAGTACCATCACCACTTGGGGTCAGGAGGCTATAGCGTCGCGATGCCGAAGTGGGAGCAGATGGAGGCTAGCTTGATTGAGAGGGGTATCGAACCGGCAACAGCCAATTGGCCGGAACGATCGAAGTTCTGGTACTATGCTCACGGTGGAACGCTCAACCCAGCTGATGGCTCACTGGTCTTCGGCTATCAGATACAAGAGGCTGCGCGACGACTAACAGATGCAGTGGAAGCCTCCTCTCAGGGCACGTTCCGACCAGACAGAGATAGGGACGAGCTGACACTCGCCCTGCAGACTCCAGAGCATCCAGGACGAACTCGAGGGAAAGGGGTGATTCCTTGGAAGATTGGTTTCAAGGAGGACATCCACACGTACAGGAGTCGGATGAGGAGCAAGAGAGATACCGAGGCGAAGATTGCAGACCTAGAGTTCCGGGTATCGAGCTACGAACTCAACATGCAAGAGGAGGTGGCAAGGAAGGTTGATGAACGCATGGCCGCACATCGGTCCCATGATCCCCAGCCGACCATTCCTCCTGCAATGGTGAGCCCGTCAGGAAACCGTAGCAGCTGCGCCTCAACGGGGCAGGTAGGATCACAGAGCATGGACGCCATGCAAACACAGGACGAATCGACCTGTCCCGTTGATGACATCACTCAGCGGACACCATGTGAGCTGCATATTCCTTTGAAGAACTTATCAATAAAGGTAAGATTTAGCCATTCCGCTAGTTGCTGCTTATATATGTTGATTACTAATAAATAATCTCTCACAACATGAAGGTGGCGTCGGGCATGGCCATCCCAACGGACCCTTCAGGTACTTACCACTGCAGGCCGATTCCAGCAGGATACTCTAAGGTCGAAGTTGAGTTGGTCGAAGACGCGTACGAGGACCTCGAGCTGGATTACCCTGGAGGAGACGGTGAGACGCATCTACGAGACACATGCCATGCCATTATTCTATGGCGCAGGCGGTACATCATCCTCCCTGGGCGACAAGCGGCGTCTCGTGCACCATCTCCTCCGGCTCCGCCATCTCCTCAGGATCCTGCACCGTCTCCTCCTCATGCTCCGCCAGCACCGTCTCCACCTCAGGCTCCAGCATCGACTCCTCAGGATCCTGCACCGACTCCTCCTCGTGCTCCTACACCTACTCCCCCGCAAGCTCCTCTTCCGGCACCTTCAAAGTCAAGGGCCCCCCCAGCTCCACCGCTTGCCCACACAAGGGCAACAAAGAAGGCGAAAGTTGACGCCGCCAAAAACAAGGACCCGGGGTACGATTGCACGCAAGAGGAGCTTGACGCTTACGTTGCATCAGAAGTCAAGAGACAATTCAAGCCTCGAAGTCCAGAAAAGAAGATTCCTATAGACCCCAGTGTCAGGAACTTCTTCAGGGGTATGTCTGCATCTGTCAAGGAGGCCATCAAGCTATCGGACTATGAGCGAACGCTGAAGAAAGCATCTTCTGGAAAGTCCAAACCAGTCCCTCAGCTTGGAGAGCAACCAAACCAGGAGATCGAGCCGTTGGTGACCGGTAAAGAAATGACGATAGAACAATTTATTACTGACACCGGTCTAACTACGGATCAATTGCTAGGAGTCGCACCAATCGAAAAGGCGGAAGTGAAATACATGTACGAACTCGGTAAACCGCTTGTCAAGCCTGAGCTGCTGCAGTCCCTACCCACACAAATGTACAAGTTCCATCAGCTGTACATGGAGATGAGCGCCACCGGTAGAGAGATGATCGGAGCGAGGATCAGGGACACGGACTTCTTGCAAGGAGATGACATTCTCTGGATCAATTTCAGGGGAATCTACGAACTATACCAGCTGGACGCCCTCGACGTCTCTATTATGAGTTGCTGGATTTTGTAAGTATATCGTTCAGTTAGATTTCTTACTATACGTCTCCTTTAATTAATTAGGTCCTTGTATATAAGTAGACCATAGAAAATAATATACTCCCTTTTATCGTTGTAGAATGGAGATTCAAAGGGCCCGACGGCGGAGGGTTTTCGATACTGGATTCATCGACCCTCGGAAAGTAAACGTCGCAATGCTCGACCAATATCCACAAGAAACAGAGGACAATCTCGTCCATCTCCTGAAGGCGCAGCATTACAAGACGTTCATACTGTTGCCATACAACACAGAGTTAGTTTAATTTTACTGTCTTCCTACATACCAAATTTCATTCCCGTACGAACTTGCTAAGTGTTTCATATGTAATGCATCCCACGCACATTGCAGATTCCACTGGGTGCTTTTACTCATCGACCTGGAGGCCTGCACCGTCAACGTATATGACTCAATGGATAAAAAAGAGTCTACGTTTGACAAGGTTTTCGAACTTATAGACAGGTACCGTCATAAGTTCCTTTGTTAATTAAGAAAATCTTGTTATGTTAATTGCTACTACGAATCATAGCTTTAAACTCCATGTAGGGCTTGGTATCGGTTCCATCATTTGGTCCGCGGCAAAGGGAGAGAAAGACTTAGGCGGAAGTTCAAATTTCCTGTGAGTACACATGCTCTACATTTATATTTCTCCGATTCAAATACATACAAGTGTATATTAATTAGATCTCTCGTTGTTTGTCATTTATTTGTAGTGCGCAAAGCAAAAGCAGGGAACTAACTTGTGCGGCTATTACGTGTGCGAGTATTGCCACTGCCTTGCAGACCAAATCATCACCACAAGAGAGCTCGATGTACGTACAAATAAATTCAAAATTTCATTACGTAGCGATTTCTTGTTTAATTACTAATCAATTTCATACATTCATATAGTTTATTCGCATGAGGGATAACCTGGAATTTATCGCGGCGGTTCAAGAACAACTCATGGGATTCATCAACGAAGAAATCCTTGATCCCAAGGGTGAATTCTACTACGACGGAAACACAATTCACTGGTCCTTAGCTTCTGAGCTAGCAGCGAGTACTACTACGTCGAAACCGTAGCTAGCTAGGACATATAATGGATTGTAATTAATACATGACTACATATGTTTCTATATGCATGTGTACACATTTTCTATAATGTAAATATATTTTGTTCATATATATATCTATATACATATGCATTTGCATAACATATATATGTATAAATACATATATATATGTATGCATATATATGTATTGAAACATATATATGCATGGTTTATATATATATATATATATATATATATATATATATATATAAACCATGCAGCAACAGGGGCATGCAAAAAAAAAAGGTCAGCTCTAGCTTTAGTCCCGGTTGGTAACACCAACCGGGACTAAAGATCGATCTTTACTCCCGGTTATTTCACCCGGGACTAAAGATAGCGATCTTTAGTCCCGGATTGGTACTCCCGGTTTGGAAACCGGGACTAAAGGGGGGTTACGAACCGGGACTACAAAGGGTTTCTCCACCAGTGGTTTCTATACAAAAGTTGCTTAAAAAAATCAAATTAATCCATTTTTGAAAAAAATAGCTAATACTTAATTAATCACGCGCTAATGGATCGCTCCGTTTTCCATGCTACTGTTCCAAGTTGGGAACAACCCATAGCGAACACAGCTTTACTCTCATATGAGTTCTTTTCTCCTCTTTTTCTTGAGAATTTCTGTCTGAAGAAATTGCTTAGTATTAGTAGCTCAATGTCATTGGAGAATTTGTTTATTTTGAATAGAGGCCAGGCAATACCAAGGATCAGCTTGTGGTACATTGAATATATGTTTTTTTTAGAATGTTTCATTGAATATATGTTGAGAACATGTTTGTTTTGTATTAGAACTGTTACAATATTTTTTTTCATAAACTTGGTCAAACATAAACATATTTAAATAGGAAAAAAATCAAAGTGACTTGTAATATGAAATGGAGGGAGCAGAAAAATATTTACGGATTTCGCTAGGATACCCACAAATGTAAGAAAAGATAAAAAAATAAAGGAAAATACAAGTGGTTTACAATGAGGTCCTTACCAGATTAGTAGAAGCCCAAATCCATCAAAAATTGGCCCAACTACAATAATACCCTGTGTGCTAAAGCCCAGCCCACTACTATACAAAAGGCCTAGCCCATCAAGGCCTTGCTAGCCAGTATCCACCCTCCTCCGCTTGGGCCACCTGTCAGTTGGGTCTCCTCTCCTCCGCATCCGAATCCCACCACACCATCGGAGAGGAGAGAGAAGAGGAAGCAAGCGGCGGCGGCGGCGGCGGCGATGGCGACGTCGGCGGGGTTCCTGGCGCGGCGGGCGGCGCAGAAGGAGAGGGTGCGGCTGCTCTACCGCCGCGCCCTCAAGGACACCCTCAACTGGGCCGTCCACCGCCACCTCTTCTACCAGGACGTGAGCTCTCCTCTCCTCTCCCCCCTTTCCGATCTGCTCCCCCCGTGCTCGCGGATCTGACCTCGTGTTCCTCCCCCCTCCCTCGCAGGCGTCGGATCTCAGGGAGAAGTTCGAGGCGAACAGAGATGTGGTAACGCCTCCGTTTCCGCTTCCCGCATCTCCGCCTCCGCTTGTTGTGTTGTGTCGCGAAATGAACTCGCGAGTTGTAGTTTACGAATGGTTTTTTGTGTGTTTGATTTTGTGAGGGGAATTGCAGGACAACCCGGATGTGATCGATAGGCTTATCGATGATGCGGAAGCGCAGTACAGGAATTTCCAGCATCCCGATCCCTACATTGGTAAGCTCTGAAATGCTGGAGAATTTTGCTTTCACTGCCGAAACCTCTCTTTCAAGCCGAATTTCTCTTGTTAAGTCATGTAGGATGGTAGCATTTCTGTTTGGTTTGGCGTTTAATTTTTTACTTTCAAGGCTTCAGAACTCTTAAAATGGGTACAAGATAAGTAGGGGTGTTCAACTATGATTTGTAAGAAACCTTCCAAAACAAACTTAAGCAAAAGTAGCTAGTGATTAGCGTTGCCACTGATGTGATTACACGGTTTCACTGGAACCATATATGAACATCCCTGCTGATAAGTATGCGGTGCCATACAGATTTGCTTCTATAAAGTAACTGCCTTACAGATTATTATCTTTCAAATGGCAATGCCAAATCACCATTCAGCTCATAGTTATTTCTACCTATATTGTTTAAGATTACCCCAACTTGCTTGGGAGTTGGGACTAAAAGGCTGCAGCTGTTTCTGAGATGTATTGCTAGTTTCAAGTCAATGTACTGGACTACTGGTGCAATGAGCTGATATGTGAATCTCACAAATCAGACTGACTTTGTATTCACCGTTGCTGTAAACACTACTGCCTTGTACTAGAGATATTCAAACTTCCCTTAGGAGTTAGTAGTATGTTTTAGGCATATTATGATGCCCTTGATGATGTGATCAATAAGGTGGGGTTCTTATATGCTTGTTCGAATCTCTGCAGTCCCATGGGCTCCTGGTGGCAGTAAATTCACAAGAAACCCTCCTCCACCTAAAGGGGTAAGAACATAAATTCATAATTTTTTATCTTATCATGCCTGACTCCTTTTCCTCGTCCAATATTTGCTTGTCCTTAGTAGAAATTGATGTAGTGCTTGTCATTTATAATGGTTTTCTTGGAGATTTGTATCTAAATGTTTAACAAAATTACTCAGCAGATTTAGATCACCTTAATTCAAACATTAGTCCACATTGGAGTACATCTCTGTTTGTCGAAACACATAACTCTTTGTTCTAAATCTTATTTTATGCTTTTAGATGTGTGACTATAAACTGATTAATAAAGAGGTAACTGCCACAAACTGTATGGTTAGTTAAGTTGCCTGTTCTGGTTTTGGTGCTGCATTCTCTTAGTCACCATCCACTTTACTAGCTCAATTTTTATTCTTTTGGTACTACCAGAGAGTATTTTGTTCCAGTTGTATCCAAATTACTTATATGGCATGTATGCTTCAGTCAAAACTTGACAAGCATATGTGAATAGTATGCAAATTTTAGTTTTATGGATAAACATATGTGAAAAGAAGCAAATTCTGTGCAGTTTGCGATGCATTTTAGCTTTATGAATAAGGATTTACTTGCTGCCATACTTGTTCCGGTTTTGCTGCTGTCACATTGTTTTCCTTTGATTTTGTGTTTCGTGCATCAAAGTGTCGCAATCAGTTTATAAGGTGATTATATGACTCCTGCAGATCGAGATTATCTACAACTATGGAAAAGAAGACTGATGAACAGGAGCCCTGCTGCATCTAGGAGCAGAACTTAGCACCTCCAGGGTGCAAACAACTTAATTTCCCTTTTTCCAGTTGATAACGTGCAATCGACATGTTGTATGATCAATAAGAACGAAGCCACTGGTCTGTCACCCTTTTGTTTCGTTTTTCCATCAGCTAGTGCATTGTTGTTACATACACATCGCTATGCCTATGCATCATTTATCTTTCAGTCAAGCATAAACTGCTTAATGTGTTACGTTCGATTGATCCATCCAACCTACTTGCATTTGGTTGTCAGCGTGGCGTCACAACTCTGGGCCGTTGCCTTTTTATTATCCGTTAAAAATGGCGCAAATGTTTGTATTCGTATGAAATCCTTGTGAATTTTTCTCTATCCCTAAACGGTTCGTCCTGAATCCAACTGTTGCGATTCCGAGTCTTGGAAGGCACGGATCCAACGGTTGCCCCGATGCAGCGCACGCGGCGGCACAAGCGATCTCCACCGTCTACCTACTTAACCTTCGTGGCGGGCGGCGACGCTCCTCTTCCTCTTCACGAAACCGAAGCGACGGCAAAACTCCCTCACTGACGACTGGGTCCCACCACTCTTTCCGACCCCACCTGTCAGTGTAACCCACTCTCACTGAGGACCGGGTCCCACCACTACTCGGACCCCACCTGTCAGTCTGACCCAAGCCCCGTTAGTTTCTCGTTAAACCAAAGCGAAGCAAAGCAGTCGACGGAGAGGGGGAGAAGAAGAGGGAGGAGTAGACGCAAGCCCACGCGAACCGAATCGAATCGAATCGAGAGGAGAGGGGAGGAGAGAGCGCAAGGAATAATCCGTAATCCGTTCGCGGCGAGGAGGAGGAGGTGGGCCCAGCGATGCAGGCGCACAGATCGCCGGCGATGGTGGGGGGCGGCGGCGCGGGGGCCGTCGGGCCGCCGTCGCCGGCGACGGTGCCGGTGAGGCGGCGCTGCGAGGGCACGGCCATGGGGGCCATCACGCTCGACCTCCGCCCCGGCAACGGCGTCGGGCCCTTCACCCTCGGTGAGCTCCTCCTCCCCCCCAACCCTAACCACCCACCTTCCGCCACGGTTGGGATCGCCGTCGTCGTCGGTTGCTTGCTTGTTTCCTCTCGCTTTGCCACGGATATGTATATGCTTGTGTTGGAAGCAATCGCCGGGCTTCCATTCTGTGGCTGGTGAATTCTTACGTGGGAGGTCGCGATTGCTGCTGCTGCTGCAGGGATGCCGATTTCCGATGCGTTCGCGCAGATAGAGGGCCAGCCAACACTCTACGACGTTGTCCACGTGAAGTACTTCGATGAGGTTCGTGATAGCGTGTGGCTCTGTTTGCTACCAAATGCGCCGCCAGTAAAGCTCAACTGATTGTTTGCTGTCGTTTCTGTGGCTTCAGGAGCCTCTAAAGTTGGATTTTGTCATAAGCTTTCCTGACCATGGGTTCCACCTGCGCTTCGATCCTTGGTCACAGGTAAGTTTGTATGGTACAAACATGAAACATGTGCTTTGATTTCCTGGTAGTCCGGTTACATCTCAGGCATCATTCGGCTAATTTGTGCCTAACATGTTAATACGAAAAATGTTTTTGTGAATATAGAGTACTGTAGTGCACCTCTTATGTGATCGAATTGAACTTGGAGCGATATATGTATTCTGATTAATTGTAAAGTGTAATGCAGATCCTAGAGAGCATGAAAGTCATTACTCTAGGAAAAAAAATAATCTAGTTTTAGCGCCAAAAAGAATTGCTATTCCTGAACTTGTGTGGTTGGTGAAACATATTCAGCGTACTTAAGCAAGTGATAAAGATAATTTCTCCCCTTACAGAGGCTTCGTCTCATTGAGATCTATGACGTGAAAAGACTGCAACTGCGATATGCAAAGTCCTTAATTGGGTGAGGAGCTTGTTATTCGTTGAGCCAATATTTGGCATGTTTACTCGTTTCACTGAATCACCTTGGCCATTTAACCCAACTCTCTGTGCTATGTTATTGATAATTTTATTTTCTCCTTTTCTCTTTCAGTGGCCCATCAACATTAGCCACTTTTGTGGCTGTTTATGGATTATTCGGACCTACTTTCCCGGGTATATATGACAAAGAGAGGGGCATTTACACCCTCTTCTATCCAGTACGTCATGACAAGTAGCCTGCCTTGTGTTATTCTTTTACATTTTTTTCCTGCCTTTTCTTCTCATGATCAGTAGGGTATCCATCTTACTCACATTTTCTTGTAGGGGTTATCCTTTGCATTCCCTATCCCCAGTCAATATACAAATTTGTTTACCAATGGGGAAGGTACACTGCTGCCAAGTTGCCACATTTAATTATTCAAGCATCAATATTCAGTTGTCCTATATACTTATATTTTCTCAGAATCTCAGCTCAGCTCCCTAATTGTTATGGCAGTGGCAGATTTGCCTCTGGAATTTCCTGACGGAACAACTCCTGTTACTTGCCGGGTTTCTATATATGACAGTTCAACGGATAGCAAGGTTGGGGTTGGATCACTGATGGATAAAGCAGTTGTTCCTGCATTACCTGCAGGCAGCCTGTACATGGAGGAAGTGCATGCAAAGGTATATCACCATATTATATCGATAATATTTTCAGCCTTAGTAGTTGTATAGAAACCAAGGAGATATATATACTTCACAACCCTCATCTCTTACCCAGGAACCTTTTCTTTAAGCAAATGCACATATGGAACAAAAAGGAATTATATTTTTTTTTGGAAAATGTATCTCCATATAATCTTTTGGCATCCCTAAAAAGGATATTATCATGTTTCCAGCTTGGTGAAGAGCTTTTGTTCACGATAGGCGGGCAACATATTCCTTTCGGTGCATCACCGCAGGTAGCAAATTATGCCGTCTACTCTCTCTATCTCTCTCTGCTTTCCCCTTCTCACCACTTTGATGCGATGGTCTTATTTATTTCTTGATTTGGCATCTCTGGCAGGACGTGTGGACTGAGTTGGGTCGTCCATGTGGCATCCACCAGAAGCAGGTCGGTTTTTAATCTATTAGTGAAACCATTGCAATATGGATTCCCGTAGATGTTTTGTAGCATGTAAATATTTCAATATCTATTTCACACAAATAATATGCTCTAAATTGAGTTTGTTGAACATGAAGTATGGTATTGTAGTAAAATCTTTCATGTATTTGAACTTCCACATTTATCGTGTACTTAGCTCCTGTTAACATCTGACCATGCTATAGAACACACAGATCTTCTCTGTTTTAATATGCTATGACATGCCATGCATGCATAATCATGGGCACACAGGCAATGAGTATGTATGCCCTTACAAGATCTCAGGGCATCCCATTTTCACATGGCATATCTTTTGGGTGCTGGGATAGCATAGGACTGTTACTTTGTTAGGAGACGACAATGTGTTGAAATTAGACAACAACTCACTGCTTCACTGAAGCATGTCAAAAGAACTCTTTTCCAAACTATTGCATACTGTTTTCTGATATTGTAAAAACATGATGTGGCACCTTGTGTTCAATATAAAGGAGTGTGCTCCTTAATTCAATCTACTCGCTCTCATCTGCAAACCATATTTTGCTCTCCCATCTGTCAGGTTGACCAGATGGTAATACATTCAGCATCAGACCCCCGCCCTCGGACAACTCTTTGTGGGGATTATTTTTACAACTACTTCTCTCGTGGTATTGATATCTTATTTGATGGGCAGGTATTTATATTCTTACACTAAGGATGTCTGCAGTTCAAAGGGCATGTTTTTTTCAGAGACTCAAAATGCTTGCTAACCTTGCTCTACATTTATTTTCTCCTTGCAGACACACAGGATAAAGAAGTTTGTTTTACACACAAACTTCCCTGGTCATTCAGATTTCAATTCCTATATGAAGTGTAACTTTGTTATCTATGATGCCGAAGGTCTGAACTACTTGCTGTAGAATTAGTTTGTTGTGAAGAAACCAACTACATCCTATTAACTATATGTCTTGATCAGCTGAAGGGACAGATCAGCCTGGTAGTATCCCTAAGAGTTGCATAACGCCTCGCACAAAGTGGGAACAAGTCAAGGTATGGTGGTTGACATGACTTTTGCACTGCCAAGATACTAATTGTCTTGTCTTGATTTAATAGATAGGTTCTCAAGCTCAGCTTTGCTTTGAACTAGGATTTATTTAATCACAAGTTCACAACATTGTGTTCATCTTCTGTTGCAATTCTGTTTTATATCTCCTTAACTTCCTAGGTTATTTTATGAGAGATCCCTTTATTTTTGAATAGTGAATGCCAATTTATTCTTCCAGATAAACATAATGGCCAAAGTTCTTATGTTAGGAATGTCGTTTCTGTTTATGACTGCTGTAAATGTATCTATGCTTTGAGTTACAATGCTGTTTTTTTGTTATGGTTCTTTTTTTTTTTTGACCAAGTATGGATGTCTCTTTAACCTTTTCCCTTGCCTTGTGTTAACAAAACCATCTATTTTGGTTGTTATATTAGGAGATCCTTGGTGATTGTGGTCGAGCAGCAATCCAGACGCAAGGCTCCATGAATAATCCATTTGGGTCAACTTTTGTCTATGGATATCAGAATATTGCTTTTGAGGTGGTTTTTAATTAATCAAATAAGAATAGAGTTTTCCCTGTGCAAACTGTATTGTCATTACTCAGAAGTGAAACCGTTTGTTCTGCCTTCACTGATTAACAGGTCATGAAAAATGGATATATTGCAACTGTTACCCTCTTTCAATCATGAGGTATGTATTTGTCCTTGCTGCACATAGTATGCAAAATCTGTAACACTGAGTCACTGACCAACAGTGAAACGGGACAAAAATTTCAATCTCAGTGCTAACAGCTGATGGTGATGCATATCCAGCCGCATCTGCATTAATGGTTAGACAGTGCTGCTACTCCAAATGGGACTCTAGAAAGGTATTTAGTCGTTTTTGCCTGATCGAAAACTGCATTTTTTTTTGTGACTCTGAGACTAATTCTTTGTTAACTCATTGACAGTGCTTGGTTCTGGCCATGGAATGCAGCCGCAGCGCTCAGCATGGATAAGCATCACTACCTTGTATTCATTCTGTAGATACAACTCATTGTACAGGAACTAATTGTATCCTGCAATCTTACGTTTTGTACATATGATATTTATTTGTTGAAACAAGAATTCAGATATACCAGCTGTACTGCCTGTTTAATTCGATCCCAGTGATGAAATAATGGGCGTGCTTTCCTTTCCATCCAATTAACCTCATCGTTTGTCTTGTCTGGTACTATGATATGCAAAGAGATGGTTTCTGTCAGCTGAATTAAATCATTCAGTGCCCATGTATCGTTGGAAGCCATCGTTTGGTTGATTTTAAGCATAAGCAAAACGGAATATTTGCCAAAAAAAATGTGAATAAACTTTTATATACGTGTTCTTAACGATTTAAAAACAAAGGCTGAAATATAAACTTCGATAAAAAACCTTAAAATCAACTTTAAATTTAAAATTAAAAATTCATATTTTGATTGGTAAATATAAACATAAGCAAGGCCGAAGCCAATTGTCAGCAAATGAATGGTTGAACATAGTTCACGGATTATCTACTTATAATTATCGAAATAAATTAATTATTTTAATACAAAATACTAAATAGCTTAAAACAAAAATCTAAAATTTAATCAATGCGATAGATTTTTTGAAAAACAATATTTTCTAGAGCGTGGAATAAATGATTCAGTGAATAAGCTGAAAAGGAGAGAGCTACTGTACGATTTGATGCACATTTCTAATCTAGTGCTCTTTTTCATACACTGTCTTTGTATATTTGCCGTTTTTAGATTACACATCCTTACTTCAAATACAAAACAATATGAAATTTCAAACTGTAAAAAGGAAGGGGAAAAAGAAAGGGACAATTACATTCTTACCCCTATTTTGGATTGTAATTGTGATTTTACCCCTTCTTTTTAGGGTTTGTGATTTTGCCCTTACTTTTTTCAAACGAAGTTTCAATTTGCCCTTACTCTGTTAAGACCAACTAACAGTGTCAAATGAGCTGCAAGAAGACATATATACCCTTCACATTTTCTCTCAAATTTGACCAAACTTGACAAATTTTGATAGAGTTTGGATATCACTTTTACAGAAGTTGCACAGGGCGCAAAAAATTCACCAAGGATTCATCGCATTCACAGGAAAAAAAATATTTACCAAACAAAATTCTCCCAAATATATACTCTCAACTATGAGATGGGGAAAAAAAAAGAAAATCAGGAGGCAGCATCCCTTGCATTGGCCTCGTGGATGAGCTTGCTTGTCGTGTGTCCTTGTTGCTGCTCCTACTCTGAACGATGTTCGCAGCAAGCTACAGCGTTGCTGAGCCAAGCTAAGCCACCCCTTCCCCTGCTACAGCGTCGCTGAGCCACCACCTGCTCTCTACCGAGCAGCCGCTGCTCACGCCGGCGAGCGCTGCCACCGTCGCAGCCTGCTCGTGAGTTGCTCCGGTGCTGCCACCTCTGTCTCCGTCGCCTGCATCCACCTGTTTGGAATGGGAGAGGAGAATGGGTTGGATGGCTTAGGTGGTGGTAACTGGTAAGTGTTTTTTACAGGGGTACAATGGTCTTTCTATATTTTGTAAACATTTTTTTCTTTACCTTATCCATTTTATTATCTTACAAAATCTGGACCCACCTAACGCCATCTAAAGCAGGGGCAAACTAAAGCTTCATTTTAAAAAAACTAAAAGTAAAATCACAAACGCTAAAAAAAGGGACAAAATCACAATTGCAACTTAAATTAAATAAAGCACGATTGTCAAAAAAAAAGAAAAGAAAAGGGAATGCTTCACAAATCACAACACAAACACGGGCTCATCTCATCCATTATGTTTCCTTGGGAGGCTGAAATGGTAAATAAACGGAAGTTGGAGTAGCCAAAGAGGTGAAGCCCCCCGCTCCACTCCTCCCAACTCCGCCGCCTCACGCCGCCGCCGCCGGTGCCCGATCCCGCACACGCGTATCCCTCCAGCTCGCCGCCCGCCAGCCCGGCATGGAGCGCGTCGCCGGCGGCGGCGGAGGAGGAGCCGGCGAGGCGCGGGGTGCAGACGCGCCGCCGCCGCCGCCGGTGGCGGCAGGGGGCGGGGGCGGGGCGGTGAAGGGGAAGTCCTGCAAGGGCTACCTCTTCTACTCGTCGTCGCTCAGGTCGCGAGACCGCGGTCCCGTCTGCGCCGGCATCACCCGCGCCATCCCCCAAGGTAGTGCCCCTCCCTTCATTTGTGAGCATATGCTATGCTACTGCGCGCTAGCTTTAGGGTCTCACGAGTTCTAGGGTTTCTTCTTCTGCTGCTGATTCAGCCGCGGCTGCCTCTGAGCCGAGCGCCGGAGCTTTTTCTGGCACCTTATTCCAGTGACCCTGCAAACACGCACGCACGCACGCAGGAACAATGGGGAACGTAGATGTTCAATCGCAACTGCTGGATTGGCGCGGTCATAGTAGCAACTGTAACTTTTGGAAGTAACCATGATCCTTACCACACACCACAACGCACGATCGATATTTGTATTCATCCTGACTTGTTGCTAGTTAGCATGCCACTGCCACTGCTAATGCCTAATAGCAGCAGAACTGCAGATCTGGACAGTGTTACATGCCATCGCACTGCGCCGTAACTCCTTGCTTGGTTTGAAATGTTTTGTTGTCATTTACTCTGAATTTGCTGTCATTTAATGGAGTACTTAACTGTTGGCCTAATTTTTATGGATTGTTTAAATGCTCAATCTGAATTGTTTTCTTCGGTCGCAATGGTTGGCATTGGCTGACTGTTCTATGTTTCTGCATCAGTCCCTGATCACATGGTTGGAGAAATTGAGATGGAAGCTATCCAGGAAGGTCGCAACCTTTCCGACTTCAGATATGGATGTATCGGCTATTCCATGTATCTGGATGACAAGAAGAGTTCTGAAGGGAAAGGTGACAAGCACCCGCAACTGCCTATTTGTGTTGGAATCGAGGTATTTCCCACTTAACCATGTTATTGCTCTGAACCTATGCACACATTATTGTCAGTTCACATGTTGGAGCATGTTAGTATGACATAATGTGCAGAGTAAGCAGTTATGAAACAGTTCTCCTACCATAAAGAATTATTGTGATGATTCAGACATGCTGTGAAAAGTATCAGTGTGCTAACTTAGCTCTGTAGTATGTACAAATGGTTAGACTTCGTGGTAGCTTGCTTCCTCATATTCTGCTTACAAAATAGACTTCTTCTTTCTTTTTTATGAACGACAGTACAAACAGATGCTACCCATGCTATTCGCCTATTCCATTTGAAATATATATCTTTTGTGTTTTTTCCTGATCTTTTTGCACTGCAAATGCCCATGCAGCTATTGGCTGATAGAAAAACTTCGACTAATCAGGCTTCATCTCACCATAAAAAGGAAGGTAGGAATATATTTTATTTTTATTGCTTGACTAGCACGTAGAACAGCAACACCAATTCTACCACAGTATGCTAATCACTGACACATTTAGTCTAGCAAAGTTGATTGTCTGTGTAGTGGCTATTGTGTTCTACCTGATGAGCCTTGCCTGTTGTCACATCTAGTTGGTTTAGATATTGGACCTATTATACATATACCTGAATTCTACACAGTATGCCTTTTTTTTTAGCGTTGTAACTGATGTTTCCCTCCTATCAATGAAATGGCAGAGCTCCTGCCTGTTCCCTCCAGAAAAAACTTTGAATGAGGATTGTTAGTGCACAACAATGGTCGAGTGCGAATGTTGCCTCCTTGATTATCCCTATTATTTTTGGTGAGCCTGTGTAAAATTGAAACCGCCAAATGTTATCATGATAGACCAATTTTGCCCTTACTTGTTGACCCTTTGTGACCAACCTGCACACATGGTAGCACACTGTACTTTTATCACGGTTGTGTAGAAATGTTTCCTGGCCACTACTTGTATGACCAATTTCTCATTAATCGGAGTTACTGGATCTCAGACTGGTCCTGACTTTATTGGTGAAACAATCTGGTCACTTCGGAAATTGCATTAATATGAATCTCTTTGAGTTTGTTATGAGTAACTGTCCAAAGTATCTACATTTCATTTCTATTCTTGAAGACTTAACTTATCTTGATAACACTGCAGCTCCCCAACCACGGCGATATAAGCCTGCACAGAGAGGAGATGATTTCTTAACCAAGTGAGTTCCTCTTCTGTTTTAGATTATGTTTAGATCCCTTAAGATCGGCATCAAAATTTAATGAATGACGGATTTCCCGATGAACCTGCAGATTTCAGAGGAATGCTGGACTTGTGGCTAATGGTGTAGCAAGGAACTTAAATAAAGTTGGGGCCTACATTAAAGACACCATGGATGATATCATGTATCCTTACCGCAAACGTCCAAAGTAAAACCTAGATCTGGTTCTTTTTTAATCCTGAAGAAGAGTAGACAAACGGGGGAGTGTCTAATCCACTACTTCCTGAAACACCTGGCTAGCACATAGATAGGCTCTGTAGGCAGTTATATGGAGGCCAAGTTGCACTCTATTCCGCTAGCTGTTTGGTGCCTTCACTTCATATCATGTTTCCCCCCTAGCCTTCTCCCGCTATTGCAATGAGTTCATTTTACTGGGTTCCATCCAGCAATGTATAGGAGGTATGATGTAACACACAATATCACCTGCTTGAGGTCATACTTGCGACTTCTGAGAATAATATCATGTCACCATTGCGAGCCACCAGCTTGAACAATTAGCAGTATAGGAATATGATGGACCTTCTGTTGTATGATTTCTCAGACCTCTGTCACAAGTGCTGAGCATGCCTACTACCCTACAGCACCTGGTGCATTCGCGAATCGCGAGTACTCCCTCCGTTTTACAATGTAAGTCATTCTAGCATTTCTCACATTCATATTGATATTAATGAATCTAGAATGATATATATGTCTAGATTTATTAACATTAATATGAACATAGGAAATGTTAGAATGACTTACATTATGAAACGGTGGAAGTACATGTTAATGGTGACATTTGTGTGAGATTTTGTGCTCTTCACGTTGATGTGATTACAAAGATTATGTGGGGGGCCCAGCAGAGGTGGCCGCCGGCCGTGCCGCCTCGAAGATCAGCGACACGTTGGCGATCGTCTGCACGCCCTTGCCGTGGAGCGCGCCGATCGGTGACTTCAACTCCGCCGCCGTGCCCCTCGACGTGTCTGGCCACATTAATTAACTAATTTTACATCAACAAAGTTAATTATCAATCCTGTAAATTTAAAATGGAACATATCTTGTGCACACGAGCTTTCATGCACACTTCGTAAATATCAAATATTAAAAAAAATTCTAGAAAAAATTAAACACATACTTTCAATAGTATTATACCTATGTATAAAATTTTATCTTCAAATTCATTATATTTTAGACGTAACAAAAAAGACAGAATTTTACCCTTAAAACTGTTAGATTTTTCACATCTTTGTTACCGCTATAATATAATGAATTTCAATATAAGACTTCGCATATATGTGTAATACTATTAGGAGTAAGTGTCCATTTTTTTCTAAAATTTTTTGTGACATTTGTTAGTTGGTGTGCACGGGGAACTTGTGTGTATAGGATATATTTTCTAAATTAAAAATGCTCAACAATACAGTATGTGGAAACGCGTAATTCTTTTTATCAAACAAATTATCTAAGGTATGTATTTTGAATATCCGAAATGCCACATCGCCTCCTTGTGCTCATCTTTTCTGCCACACCCACAGCACGCCACGTGTCACCACCCTAGCCAACCTTCGGCGTTTTACCCTCTAACAGTGCCAGGGTTTACCTAATAACGCTTATGCTGGGACACGGTAACGGTTTACCGTGGTATGGTTTGGATGAAATTTGAGCAAATTAAAAATTCCAAAAAAAATAAAAAAAGAAAAAAAATCATGGATGTAGTTCTTGATTTGTAGTGGCAGATGATGAAGATTTTTTTTTAAAAATAGGGTAAGATAAATTCAAATTTGAGGACAAAACCAAAAATAGTTTAGAAATTGAAAAAATAAAAAAATTATCGGGTTTAGGTCAAATACACTGTGAAAATTTGATGTTTGTTGAGATACGAAGATTTGTGAAATAGCTGAAATATGGTTTGCTAGTGATGCGGAAAATAGTTTTGTAGAGTTGGTATGTTATTTGTTGGGTGAATAGATATGCTCATGTTTCGTGACGTAAATTTATTGTAATGATAATGGATCATTTGTTGTCATGTGAAATATGGTAGTGATTAGGGTGATTTGTGACTCTACAATCACCGCAAAGCGTTTAGGTGTTGCGATTATGTTTGTCTACTTGCCAAAAAAGTTGCCAACAATATGTACCATTGTGTGGTTGAAATGGAGAAGAGTTGAAAAATTGCTATGTTATATTTCATCAAGCCTGACCAAAAGTGTGAACTGTTAGGCTGAACAATAGTCACATGGGCGTAAGGTTTTACCCAATCGAGATATATATTTGTGAGCAAATTTTAGCTGACCCAATCCTCATCATGTATTTGTATAGCTATTTGCTCAACAAGCTTCGTGCCTCATCGTTTGCCCATGGCTTATAAGCCAAAGCCAAATTTAAAATTTAAAACTTGATTTTAATTTGAATTTGATTCTTTTCAACATAGTTTTTTTTTCAATTTTAGCTTTTCAATCACTAAGAACATATATACAAAAATTTTACTCATATATTATTTTTTTAATCGCTAACAAGCCGTTATGACTTATAATAATAGTAGACCAACTGATGAGGACCTTCTATTTTTCAAATCTATTTCATCCCTTGATCATTTGACGTACACATGTACGTTCCAGCTGGCGTCCCTCAATCCTCCGTATCCTTGCTCGTGTGCGTCAACACCATTGGAATTTGGAACAGACATGGCCGGCAAGCATCGAGCGATGCATGACCATGCACCATCGTGCCGCCACGGTGAAGCGTGTTCATGTCGGCCGGGGTTTGTGTCGGTGCGAGCCACCACGTTCAAGTGACTTTAATGAGCTACTCCCTCATTAGTCGTAAAAGAAGTTGTTTAGAACAGCGACACGGTCTCTAAAACATAACTTTGACTTCTTGTTTCTATAAAAATGTTTATTGAAAAATGATATATGTATATTTTTATGAAAATATTTTTCAAGATAAATCTATTCATATAATTTTTACATTTTCAAACTTAATAATTTGAGAGTTATTCATGATTTATATTCCCAAGGTTTGACTTAAACATTATCCTAAACGACTTCCTTTATGAGTATGGAGGGAGTATCTCTTTATCTAATCTCAATTGGATATGAAAATAAAGTTAGTCATAATAGCCATAAGTAGAAAGTTCGAATTGTGTAGATTAATGCTTTTTTTTATAATGGAATATAATACCATATCTGTCTTTACTTAACGAGCTATAAACAATTATTATACCAAATCACTTAAAATGAACAGATTAGTGCCTTTATTTAATATCCCACATTACAGTAATCAGGATTTAATTAGCTTGGAGACACAACTATATATACTCTCTCCGGTTCCATAATTCTTAACGTTTTGGACAATGACATGTTCTCCAAAATATATATTTGATTTTGTTTTTTTATTATAATATATACAATAAATAAATGCATGTTTAATTTTCTTATAATACTTTGAAAGATAAATCTCTAGCTCCTTTAAACTAAATATATTTAAAATTATTGATAATCAAAGTTATAAAAGTTTGACCTCAACTTTGTTCAAAACACAAAGAATTATGAAATGGTAGGAGTGCTCGGTTAACTGTGTATATATTTTTCTCTTAAGATAATATAAATGGTTTACATCTCCAGCCAATACCGACGGTCGATCACAGCCAAGGCAATGTAGTGTATATATATGTCACTAATCATGCGTATGTATATTACATATGTACTTATCTATATACAGGGATTGAAATCCTATATCTTCAAAGTCATCATGGCTTTATCACTAACAGTTAGACCCATGGTTTATCGATCCCACATATCAGTGACGAAAGTACGTACCTTTAAAGGTAGAAGAGCCTGTTCCATATACAGCAGAAGTAAAACATAAGAGGTGGCACACAAGCATCATATCGCTAATCAATCAGAGCGATGCGCTGGAAGAGGTGCGATGATCGGCGGCGGCGGCGGCGGCGGCGATTTTCTCCCAGACGGCGTAGCCGTTGCCGTGGGCGGCGAGGTGGAAGCCGGGCGGGATGAGGCTGGAGACGTCGTAGCGGGAGCCGATCTTCATCACCACCTTGCCGTCGATCTCGGCGACGTAGGCGTCGGCGTCGTGCAGCATGATCTTGAGCGAGCTCGTCGCCGTCACGCCGTTCCGCTGCCTCACCGCCACCAGCGCCGCGATCTGCTCCTTTAACCCCCAATCGAAGAAATGGTCGTAGAACTACATGTACATATATACAGGCACATTATTGTGCAATTTTAGATGACTGATGAGTGTATATATATGTACACACGTGCATTATGCAAGTTTAGTAGACAACTGATAAATAAGGGCAAAAAAGTATTAGACGGCTAATAAATAGCAAAAAATTGATGAAGTATTCAATATTAAACTTTGACTACTTCCTTACTTGGAAAAAATTACAAATAATTATAAATATGTTTTACTACTGAAGTCTGTAGGGTCACAAATATAGCTATTACCAAAGTGTGTTTCTTAAAAAAATATTTATAGTCAACTGAAATGACAATAATCAATTAATAGTGCATGTTATTCGAGAGTCAATTAACCAAATAATCAATTAATTTATGTAAATGTATAACATATAAATCATGCTTAAAGTACTTTGAGTGATAAAACAATTCATAACAAAATAAATTATAATTACATTATTTTTTAAATAAGACAATGGCCAAATATGTGATAAAAAATCAACGACGTCATCTATTTAAAAACAGAGGTAGCAGTAGTAGGAGTACTTACGATGCATGGGTTGCCGGGATGGGTGAGGATGTAGGCGTAGCCCTGCATGACCTTGTCGGAGGGGAATGGCCACATCTGTTGCGTCGAGCCAGTGTCGTGGTTGTCGACGAAGGTGACAGCCTTTGCCGGCCACCACCCGATCACCCCCGGTGCCTTCCCCTGCTGGTCGATCAGCCGCCACAGCTCCCCCTCCACCGCCGTGTTCATGATCCCCTTCGTCGTGAAGTCGAACACCATCCCCGCCGACGCCGTCCCACCCACCCTGTCCACCCAGTCCACCAACGCCTGCCGGTGTGCGTCCTGATTGTACTCCGGCTTCCCGTCTCCGCCGTACGCCATCGAGTCCCACAGCTCCGCCACCGCCAACCCCACCGGCGTTGTCCCCTCAATGTACACCTTGGCCACCTCCGGCGAGTACCCCCTTGCGAAGTCGAGCCGCCACGCATCGAAGCCAACCTCGTCAGACTTGAGCCAGAGGAGCCAGTCGGTGAGCTCCCGCTGGACGACACCATTGAGGTGGTCAATGTCGGGGGCAGCGGCGAAGTCGGCGCCGGTGTCGAGGTTGCCTGTGCCGTCGGAGAACTGGGTATCATCGCGGCAGATCATGTGGGGGCCCCAGTCGAGGCGGCCGTCAGGTGTGCCGCCCTCAAAGATGCAGTAGATGCCGCGGCTGTCCTTGTAGTCGGCGCAGCGGTGGTTGATCACCACGTCAGCGATCGCCTGAATGCCCTTGCCGTGGAGCGCGCTGATCAACGACTTCAACTCCATCGACGTGCCGTACCTAGACGCATCCAAGTCGTACAGCCGCCCAGGCATGTACCCTTCACGCACATCGCCACATTGAATAACGAGTAAATTGCATTGGCAGTATGCAAACTTATCAGGTGGATGCAATCTAGTACACGAACCTATAAAATCGCTCATTTTGGTGCATAACCAAACCAAGACCAAAAGGATACTACATGGCTAAGTTTGTAGATCTAGGCGCTGATTATGATACTACATGAATATATAACAAAAAAGTTGTTATTTGGACATACATTTATTCAATAAAAAAAGATAGAATGAGGCATAGTGATTGTAGAGAAAGATATGAAAATATGAATAATGGTAAATGGTTACAGAGATATGAAATTCACCATTGACATTTTAATGATGTAAGATAAAGTAGAGACCAAGATATAAATATGGCATGCCTTATGCATACTCACTACATGTGTGTATGTCGGCAACATATCCTATGCACACAGTCCCTCACGTGTACACACGTGCACACCAACTAAAAAATGTCACCAAAAAATCTAGAAAAAAATCATACATATACTTTCAATTGTATTACACCTAGGGTTAAAATCTTAACGTCAAATTCATTATATTTTAGCCGTAACAAAAAAAAAACAAAAAATCTGACAGTTTTAAGGTTGCAATTTTGTCAGAATTTTATCTTTTTTGTTATTCTCTATGTAGAATGAATTTGAAGATGCGACTTTGCACGTAGATGTAATACTATTGAAAGTACATGTATGAATTTTCCTAAAATTTTTTGTGATAATTTTTAGTTGGTGTACACGGTGTGTACACGCGAGGGTCTGTGTGCATAGGATACGCTCCCGTGTATGTCACGTCCTAATCAACTTCAACTTTGTAAAATCAACATCAATTTCTATGGAGCTAAAATCGTTTGGTTGAGCTCCAGCTTCGGAAAAGGTTGACCTGAAGCTGGAGCTTCTGAAGCTAGAGTTATGCCAAATAGACCCTGAGTTAGTATGTATTTTGAATACCCGAAGTGGAACGGATAAAGTATGCTAAATTTACACATGATTTTTGCACATCCAGTTTAAATGTTTAGAAATGATATGTTTTCGTACCCACAGGAAGTACAGTAGTAGTTTTTTTTTATTGTTTTTAGAAAATAAAAACATGATAATAAAGTGGCATATTAGTTACTTCGGAAAGTGAAAAAAAAACATATTTTTTTCCTGGAAGGAGCTTAATTACTAGTACTCATTATTACACTAATTATATATCATTAATCTTTTTTTCTAACTGCTGACAGCTTACCTTTGTATTGCATCTGTATAAGATTAGAATGGGGTTGCAAGATTGATTGACCCTTACGCATGTCAGTGTGATATTATCTAGCCAAAAATTCCTCAACTAAATCAGTGAAACATCTCATTCCAACCCAAATGAAATAAAGGCCAAAGTGACAATCATTATCCACACTTCGCAATCAGGGTAGCTTAGTTAGCGTGCTGTCCACTCCACGCTTGCAGGATCCCAAATTTCGCCAACTCCAAAATGTTCAGAGTTTAGTTTCAGACAAGGAGGAGCAGCAGGAGAAACCGACCTTGCGTGGAGACGGAGTGCGACGGCGGCGGCAGCCAGACGTGCGTGACGCCGGCGGCGACGATGTCGTCGACCTTCCCCATCAGCAGGTTGTACCACCCTCCGCTCTGCCTCCACGACTCCCAGTTGAACCCCTGAAGAGAACGCAACAGCTTGTTCAGAAACTGAACTGAAATCGGTCACAACTTCAGTTCAGTCCGTGGCTGGCTGCGTACCTGGAAGAGAATCTTGTCGCCGGAAGCCAAGCCGAGAAGGAGGAGGAGGAGGATCATGGAGAGGCGTCGTCCGGTCGCCATGGCAGCAGCCAGGCTAGCTCTATAGCTCGATCTCTCTCCTCTGCACAGAAGCAGGGACACTCTGCTCTGAACTCTGAATTGATGAATTCAGAAGATGATTACAGGTGTTTTGATGATTGCAGAAGATGGCTACGCGTGTAGGGTATTTATAGGACGCAGCTGCGGCAGGGCAGAATTGATGAATTCTTTCCTTTTCTTTTAGAAAATGGAGGATTGATGAATTCTTTTTTAGATTCCGCGATGTGATGTGATGGAGAGTTGCTTCCTTGGGGACAACTGCTGTATACAGGATACCCAACTCTGTTACGTGCTATTACTCTGCTTCCTGATGAACCTACTCAATCAACACTGTGCTGATATCTTGTATCCTGATGAACCGTGTTTAGGTGGGACTAAAACTTGAGTTTTAACTCCCTATCACATTAAATGTTTGGATACTAATTATAAATATTAAACGTAGGCTATTAATAAAACACATCCATATTCTTGGACTAATTCGTGAGACGAATCTATTGAGCCTAATTAATCCATGATTAGCCTATGTGATGCTACAGTAAACATTCTCTAATTATGGATTAATTAGGTTTAAAAAATTTGCCTCCCGAATTAGCTTTCATTTATGTAATTAGTTTTGTAAGTAGATTATATTTAATACTCTAAATAATGTTTAAAGACAGGGACTAAAATTAAGTCCCTAATCCAAACACCACCGAAATCAGATGAGATGAGATGAATTCATGGCGGTCGTCAAGTCAATGAAGGATGGCGCCAATGTCACGGACGCCTTGGAGAAGAAATGCCTGCAATGCAAACGTACCATTCGTTGCCCCTGCCTTTAGGTTTTCAGGGTACTAGCCACTTATTTCTCTCAAGTTTGACAAAACATGAGCAAAACACACAGAGAGGAAAACAATTGGTTGCATCTGAAAATGTATCAGCTATGTCGAATTTATTGGTTTCGGATGATAACCCGTAGAAAAATAAATGAGACAACAAAAAAGTAATCTTAGGGCGCAGACATTAGCACCTTTTTTTTAAGTACTCCTCGATGAGTTAATCTCGAATTGTTTTTGTGCATTAACCTAAAAAAATACTTTTTTTTTGCTAATATGATGGCCAATCATAATTTAGAAAGTGGGTTTGCTTGGATTATGCTATTTCTATTTTTTTTATTTCATAGGACATCTTGGTCCCTATTTATAGTCATAGCATTAACCGGTCTTAATTAGGTGCAGCTATATCACAAGCAGCTTATGTTTCTTAAATCTCACTTTGTATTTACTTGAATGATGCTATAAATCTTTATCAAAATAAGTAATCTCATAATTGCGTAAATATGAGAAGCCAAAGATTTTACGGGGTTACAACTTGTGTTTCTATTCTTAGTGGTTTAAAAGCTAAGGCTGAAAAAAAGAAAAAAAATGCTTTGGATTGTTTAAAATCAATATGAAAAATTCAAATGTTGCTTGCGTTTTTTTAAGCCAACAAGCAAGCATTTTTTTTGGGAGGGGGGGGGGGGGCAAGTTGCTTCAGATGCACTTCTGTGTGGCTAGTTTGACAAATACTCCCTCTGATTATGAAAACATGAGTTTTTACATATGTCTTTTAAGTTGAACTTTTGAAACATAAAAACATTAATACTGCTACCTTTCTATATATTTTGGATTCAGAAAAAGGGAAATGTAAAAATTCGTTGAACTGAGACAAACAAGACATTATCATCACTGTAGTTTGATAAACCTTCACTTGAGCAATTTTGGAACGCTATTTGATTTCGTTATAGTACCATTTTTAAGCGAATAGGCTGTACCAAATTCATTTATATTTGACTTCATCATAGTACCATTTTTTAAGTGAATAGGCTCTACCAAAAATGGTTCAGCTCAAGAAACAAGACAATTTCAGCAAGACAATTTTAATGTAGTCCTCCGTACGAATGTAGTACCTATAGTGAATAAAAATCGAATAACGGAGGTAAGTAATCGCTGATAATTAGCCAGGATACCAGAACAAAATCTAGCAGAAAACTTCTACTATAATGTAACAAAGAAATCTTGGAAGACTTGGTATTTCGGCAATTAATAACATGAAACAACTTGATCTTACTGTTTTCCCTAATTATAATCCTGAAATGTACTTGCTTGCAATTGCATACAAGATAATGCAGAATAAACACGCATTATCCTCGAGAGTAACTAAAAGACAATTATGAAACAACTTGATCTTACTGTTTTACCCTATTTACCATCCTGAATTGTACTTGCTTGCACACAAGATAATGCAGAATAAACTCGCATTTTCCTCGAGAGTAACTAAAAAACAAAAACAATTATGAAACTACAAGTACAAGGTTGATAGATTTGGGTGGCTGCAAAAGCAATTGTGAAAATGACATCTAACTGTCAAATGCCAATGGGGGTGATGTGCTTATCCCCTAACTGAATAAATTAATCCTTGAATAATTGAGATTGTTAGTAAGTACTTATTTAATCCCTTATAAACTGAAAGTCTGTACGATAAACACCAAATTGTGTGTCATTGTCATGTTACAACTAATTCTAGGACTCTCGTACTGGCATTTTTTGTTTAATTTCATCGAGACAACGATCACAAGAGGGAGTTGCTTAGAGTGCCAAGATTTATCAGAGGAACTCTGTTGATGTGGACAGACTGAATGAGAGAGAACCGGTCATACACTCATACTCACACTACATGGAGTATACATATAGGAGTATCTATCTTTGATCTGGTTAAGAGACCAAGGGGAATGAATACAATCTCTTTTCGTTTATCTTATCCGCAGCTGCAGGCGGTAATTTGATCTCATCTCCTAGAGCATAGTACAATCTTATCTGGTTTTTTCCTATATTCTAATTATATGATCAATATATCCCAATTTGGTAATGATATCTGTATTGACATAGTGAAATGGAACCAATCAACTAACAATCAAAGTATTCAATATTCTCTCTGTTCCCCCGCAAAAAAAATATAATCTGTTAAAAGTTATAAAAGTTTGATTGCTAGTGTACGTACGAAATAAATTCGAAACAAATTCAAAATTAGATCACATAGCAGTATAGAAAGTTATTTTGGCTGACATGGAATCCTAATCAACAAAAAAAAAACAAAAATATGGGACCACATTTTCTTATGGTCTTGAAGCACCATCCACATTTTCTTTATATTTACAGAATTTATTTTAGAGTAAATTGCACCCACGGTGTATCAACTTGGCAGGTGGGTGCAATTTGGTGCAAGAACTTGAGAAATGAGTATTCTAGTGCAACAACTTGGTAGATAGGTGCAATTTAGTATAAGAACTTTATAAGTGATCGTATAAATGCAACAACTTGCAAGATATGTACGCTTTTCATACAATAAATTAAAAAGTTATACGGTAACTTAATTATTTGGAGCATTTTTTTTATACATATTTAATTTTTAAGTACTTATTTTGACAATTAATATGCTAGCGTGGATTTGTATATAAGCATATTTATATTTTTATCCTAATAACTAATAAGTCAATTAAACTGATGTAGAAATTATTATATTTCGGTTGAGATTTGGAAAGGTGAGAAAAAAACAAAAATTCTTAAAGGTAATTGGATGTAAATTGCATGTGCAATATAATTCTTAAAAATTAAATTCAATATTATAAGGTAATATCCGTAGGATTGCTATGTAATGACATATTGACGTTGCGGGAAAAAACCCACCTAGCATATGCTTAGCTAAGTTGATGCACCAAAATATTATATTGTCAAGTTCTTATACTAGAACGCACCCACGTGTCAAGTTGTTGCACTCGAACATTCAATTCTCAAGTTCTTGCACCATATCGCACCCACCTGCCAAGTTATTATATCGTGGGTGTAATTTACTTTTTATTTTAATACATGTTAGAAAGCTTATGGAGTTTACTTCTAGATGGTTTTGCTCCCATGTCAAAATTCCTCATGAGCTGCTGGGAATCTGCAAATTCATCCACGTACTTCATTTGGGTATTTGAATATTGTAATTGTAATTGTGTATTCCGAGTCTGATTTGGGTATTTGAATATTGTAATTGTGCCGTGAGCTAAGCCTAAGGGGCTATGCGCTCTAGGACAAACCCTAGGACGTCATATGTCGTAGTTTCGCGTTGACAAGTCTGATTTGTAAATCCCCAACTACAAATGCTAATCATTCATTTGCAATTTAAGATTAGTCGATACTCTAGACATGCTAACCCTTAACATGCCAAATTTCTAACCCTTAATAAGCCAAATTTCGTAAAGACGCGAAGTTACACGTACGCTGCCGGTAAGTAAAAACACCCAGTTTAACCTCATTTATATGTTGACCGATTAAAAGCTGACATGCATTTTAAGACTTTTGAGACAAATTTAAGCCAAAGAGATCATTCTCCTGTAGAACAGCACATACATGGCGATTCTGAGGAGTTGTTGCCGTGGAGTTGGACAGTTGGACTGCTTGTCATTCTGCTGCCTTGAAGGCTCAGCGTTGGGTTTGTGCATTGAGGAATGAGGTGGTAATGGAAAAATCCATCCAATTCCTCGAACCAAACAACTCAACAAGAAGCAAGTGGTGAACTCATCATCTCACTCCTCAAGCCAAACTGTCCGAAAGAGTTGGATCACTCGACTTTTGTGTTAACTCAAAGCAAACAATCATTGCCACACCTATGCCCAAAAACTCGACAGTTTCAGAGTACACAGTGGACGCAAAGGTAAGCCAAGATACATAAATAAATCAGCATATATATATTACTTTCTACTTTATAGATGGATTCATCAACCCTCCTCGAGCAACAATTAACGCAACTAGCTGATAAGTTTCTGCTCACAAAATTATACTCGTATATGCCCAGCAACAGTACTCCTTAAACTCCAATCAGCCAACAAACTACTGAGCCGACAATATTCGCATCCGGACAGGCATCTATGTCACACCCTTTCTACCGGCGGCTTCTGCGTCCTCCTCAGCTTGATCAACTCTTGTACCTACATTATAAATAAAATAGTTCATGATCCATCTGATAAAATGTCCTTGAAGCAAGAATTACTGACCTTTTGGATCAAGGGACAAGGGAAAGAGCATTCATGTAGTCCACATTGTATACAATAGGACAAGAAAAACCTAAGGCTATATAAATATTAATAACTGCTTTATTCAAGTTGGCCTTGGTCAATACCTTATTACTTGCTCTATTCTCTAGTTCTTTGGAAATTGACATGCTGTGAATGCACTTTGATTATTACTTCTTTATATTTAAATGAATGCTAGCAAAATATATTAGA